ATGTTTGCCCCGGGGCCTGTGCTGGCTCTGGACATTCCTGACTAAGTACAAATTTGTACCTAGAAGTTATAACTTATAATACAGTGTTAGTTTGAGATTCTTTTTATCTGATCTTAGTCCATCAGTCATTTAGATATTCTTTGAATTTGTATTTCAGAAAACCAGTCTTCCTCATACTTGTCTACACGACTGATTGCACATTAAATGTTTATAATGGACAGTTCAGATGTTATTCTGCATCAAAAGTAACCTTACAAAATTTTTAACAGTGCTATTACAGAATTTTATTGTTAAAGCATTCTAAGATTATATAGGAAGGAAGTTGAATTGTTGGAAAGGGTTCAGAAAAGGGGCTGCTAAAATGATACATGAGGTGGATATATTGTCATATGAAAACAGGTTAGATCTTTGAAATGTTCTGTTCAAAAAAGAAGAGTTAGAGGAGGATCTGATTTAATTGTTTAAGATCAGTAAGAAAATTTATAGTGTTGATGCATATTTTTTTTTTGTAATTAATGATATAATTAGGAGATACAAATATAAATTTTTGCAGGGTAGAAGTTATCTTCAGCTAAGACAGTTTGATTTTCTAACATGGTGGTTGTCCTTTGGAATGGGTTGCCTTCAGATGTGGTAGATGCAGTAAGTTTGAGGGAATGCTTGATCAGTATCTGAATGATAAGGGCTGGATTTGAATGTTTTATTTTAAAGTTTGTTCTAGTGAATGGAATTGTTGTCCTTCAATTATATATTATATGATATAAAATATACCCCAGGTATCACCCCAAGAAAAATTTTAATCCAATGGCTAGCCCCATATCAAAACTAGTTAACTAGAATGAAGTGAGTGAACTTGATCAGCCCATCTTCTCCTAACAACAGAAAAATAATCACTAAACTAGTGCTTATTCCCCAAATATTCATTTTAAACTCCTGAAAAGTGGAAACTTCTAACACTGTAGTAGCTGAAAATGTTTTTCCAAAAATTTATCACCCGATTAAAAAAAATAACTATTTCAGCTGAAAGTGTGTCTTACCTTTATAAATCTAAAATCTGTGATCTCTTGTCATACCACACTCAGAATTCGATATTAAAAATAATGTTATGCCTAAATATTATCAATTCTTCTCATTAATTTGAATACTTAAACTAGATTAATTTACCCCTGACCCTTCTTTTCTGAGAGTGAACTAGATAAGAGATCTCAACCTATCCTCATGTGGCAACCCATTTATCTACAGAATCATCCTAGTACGTCCTGTCTAATGAACCCTCTCCAAAACTACACACAATACCCCAAATAAGGTTTCATTTGTGACCTATGCAATGGAACAATGGCTTTGTCTTCTTTCAACTTACAGTTGGTATTCCTGTGTATGTATATTTTCAATTAAAAATTTTGTTAGATCTGCCATTTGCAATAGAACACTGTTTTAAAGGCTAAAGTATTGTGAGAAATCCTACCAGAAAAGATACCATACTATTCACATTTGTTTTTGTACATATTAATTTATTTTTTAAGACAGCAACATCACTGCAGACAAAATCTTTTAAACAAAATAGAAATATACAACATAAACTGTACCAACTGACTGTATATGGGCTCAGTCATTTTGACAGCTCTCACAACCACCAAGCAATTATGAAAGTATCTTCACAAATTTTATCAAGCCTTTAGTAAGCATTACAAGTCTTGTACACAAAATATTGTCTTAATTAAATATTTTTACTAAAGATTTGTTTGTGAATTCATGGAGTTGGAGTCTGATTTTGACTAATATGAATAGAGAGTGATTTTATGTTAAAATTGAAAATACTATTTTTCATCTTACAGTTTCAAAATTTTATTTTCATAACTCTAGAACCTTTTAAATGAATTTAAAAAGTTTTTTCGTTGAAACTTTATACATATTCTGTTATTTTCACTACCCTAACACTTTATATGGACTCTGTTTATTTGACTGACCTTGTAACCACCATATAACCAAAGAAAAATGAAATATACATTACTTTTTTTTTGTTATTTAGAATAACTGCACATTTTAACAGACAGTTACACAATATACTTTTACAGCCAAAGCTAATAAATGTTTCCTTTAGTTGTATTTCTTTGCAGTTGCTCTTATACCTGTCGAGATTGTGACACTATCCATTTATTATGCTGCACAGTTTTGTGTAAACAATAGATCCAGTTACCAGCACTTTCATGTCGAATTACACAACTGTGCTTGGTGCATGCTATCAGTGGTCATGAGTATTTTGTTTATTTAATTTGGATTGTTTTTTATATAAACTAATAAGTTTCTAATTTTCACATTTTAGTTGCTTTTTATAACAATAATATATATAAAACCAAAGAAATATTGTAATTACAACTTAAATCTTTTTCAAGATTTTGCATTTGTAAGTTAGAAGGCAGTGTTAAAGATTATCCCTAGTTCTTAGTAATGATAATGTGGTCTTAGACAATTTAAAAAAAAATTCAAATATGTAACTTAGAATATGAAATATTGCTATGCATATAAAACTGAATGTCCTAAAATGAATATAATTTATCTGGCTTTCTAACTAATCTTGATATGGCTTAAATCAGCATTTCCCAAAGTGTGTGCCCCTTTCACCATGCAATAATGCAAAATTAAGCACTTGAATATATTTTTTATTGATGAAAATAATAAGTAATTACTCTGATGCATATAGCATTTTTGATGTGTCTGTGTATTCATATCTCATCATTTAGCACACTCTTTCACTCATTTTAAAAAGGATGTGTGTGCAAAAAAACGTATTTATTAAAGAGGGACCATGGATGATAAAGGTTTCGGAAATGCTGTTTTTAAATGTTCATATCCACTTATTCCAAGGGCTTGAGACCCCATAGCTATCAGTAAATTGAGATCGTCACTTTCTGTTGTTGACATGTAGTCTATTAGCAAATGTTGGAGAGAATTCGTGACAATTTTTGAAAACAGAATGTTCTGTAAGGGGCATGGCATGTAGTCTTCACTTTATTCCTTATATCTCCATAAAGCAAAATATCTTCTTGTTACTAGTTGAACTTTAGCCTGATGACATGTATAAATGTGAAACTCCACAGAAAGCTAGGAGGTTATATAGGAGTAGAAAAAAATGAAAATTGTCAATTTGAAGCAAAAACTAATGAAGGTTGAGAATTTTATATATTTACTTTTGAAATTAAGAAATTAAATCCCAAATAATATTAACATTTATATTATTATTCATTGATATAGAATAATAATTAAATAGTTTAATTCAATTTTGAAGGTAACTGTAAAGAGGTTGGGATGTTCACTTAAATCTACCAGTGCTCAGAAGGTTAAAATTGAACACAATACAGATTGCATCAGTCCCTCTGCTCCCTTTGTCTTAGGGGCCAGGTTGTTAGGGCACTCGACTTGCAGTCTGAGGGTCGCGTGTTTTAATCCCGGTGCCATTAAACCTGCTCGCCCTTTCAACTGTATTTCTGCTTCAGTTTAAATCTTATCAAGCACACTAGTTAATTCTTGACCTGTTAGCTAAACAACCAATCCCACTATTTGTTGGTAAAAGAGTAGCTCAAAAGTTGGCTGTGGGTGGTGATGACTAGCTGTCTTTCACTGCCAAATTAGGGATGGCTAGTGCAGATGCCCTTGTGTATCTTTGTGCAAAATTCAAACCAAACGCAAACCCTTCTTAATTCAAATATTCCATCTTTAAGGTTACTTCATTACGCTTAATGTAAATTTTATTTCAGTCATTATTTCCTTCTCTTACAAAATTTCATTTACCCCTCTTTATTGATGTTCTTTAATGTCCAATAAACAAGAAAAAATTATTTCTGCTTCAGTTTAAATCTTGTCAATCACACTAGCTAATTCTTGACCTGTCAGCTAAACAACCAATTTTGTGCTAAACAGTAGGAGAATCTCTCATTTCTGGATACTGTATCGGGCTGTTATGTTGCCCCACCTTACAGTATATATAGTGTTGCAGAAGAGAACTGATTATATCATGATGCACATTAGTTGCATGTTATAAATACTAAAGGCAGCTGTTGTTCTGTTAAGGATGGAAAGAGATTAATCAAAACTTAGGTTTGAAAGTAAACTTAAAAATACTTGTAATTATTTTTAAGAAGTGTGACAAACTTTCTGCAATTTGTTAAAGACTGACATATGAAACAATAACCAGAAGTTCAAATAACATGAAAATAATTTTACTTTATCAGCTCTCTTCAAGTTTCACTCACTGAAGGGTTCAAAATTCATATATTTTTTCCCAATTATCATGTTGTGACATTTATTGGCAGGTTCTTATAAACTACCTGGTGAAAGGAATTCAAAATCCAAATAAATGAATAAGTTTATTTCTTTAATATTAGTATTTAATATAATATTTAATATTTATAATCTAACTTAGAATATACAAGAAAACTTGACATCAAATTTTTTATATATTTAGCAAAGTCACTAGTTTTTCTGATATTAATTTAGAATATTCTAGGCTACTCCCAGAAAATTAATTCATTTTAATATCATATCTCCTTTAGTTTATAACAAAATGATTATCCAGATATTATTGGCTTAGTTCAGTTAATTGATTTTCATAGATGATAATCAGCATATACTCAACTTCATATTATAGCTGCTCTTACATTGGATTTGAACTTTGGCATGCTACAGTTTCTTGATGCTATATTTCAGAGATTATTTAATGGTGTTTCTAATGAGGTTTAACTCCACTTTGATGAAAAACATCATTAAATTTTAATTTTTATCACTAAAATGCTGTAATTTTATGAAGGCTTGAAAGCAAAGTTAGCCTGCTGTACGTTTATATATATATAAAATTAACACAATGGAATAATGTTTGTTTTTACATATGTAATAATGTTTGTTTTTACATATTAATCTATGAATTTGCTTATCCTTATTTTTCATATTTCCTTAAATGTTATATTCAATCAGAGATGATTTATGTTTAATATGTCCAAGAGCCTGGGATTTTTTTCATTATTTTACAATTAAACTGTACTATGATGAGTTAGATATTAAAAGAACTAGTGTAAGTAAAATTATTTGGTTTTGTAATACCAGAATTCCACAAGTTTAAAACATTTCATACTTATGGTTGGAACTAATATTTAGTTTACCAAGTCTTAAAATGACACTGTCATTTTGATTTTTCTACAGTTTAATTTGTATGACAGATAGTAGTTTGTGACAAGAAGTATCAAATCGACAGAAAAGACAAAACAATGGCATCAGTAGTGCAGAATTCTGAGAAATTTGGTAAGGTTTTGTTTAACTGAAATTTTACATTTAAATTAATTTGCTTAGAAAAGATATGAAACAAGCCATTTATCTGAGAACTTTCTAAATAGATGTTTTGTCAGGTCTTACCAATACTGATCAGCAGGTTTTTCATCTTTTTTTCATAATAAGAACTTTGGAAGAGTTCCAGGTTAAGATATTCCCTTTTCATGCTGCAAAAATTGACAAAAACAGAAGGGAAAATCATAAATTCAAAATGTAAGTCTTGCTGTTATCAGTTTTAAATATTGCTGCAATTAGGAATTAGATGGAGAGATGATTTTCCTCTTTAGAATTATGTAATGGAAACAGAGACCAATATCAGGGTGGCCATGAACCTGGGAAAGTCAGTGAAGGTTCTGAGCTCCCACACACGCGCACCTGTTTAGCTTATTAGTATATTTTAACATAATATTGGTCCTTCACTTTGTGTTATTTTATCTGGTTACAATTATCTAATTTATTTTATGTGATGATACGTTGGATCAAATCTTCTTTTATAGATAAAACTGTAACATCTTACTGTATGCCATCTAGGTGTAATGTTTTTTTTTAAGATATTGTTTTTTAGTAGCATAGTGGGAAAAAAGTGTGTCCTGAAATCTTTATTAAACCCTATAACCAGATTACAGCCAAAGTTGTGGTAATTAGTTATGATAATGAGGAAAAGTTGAAATCTCAGTATTTTGTTTAGTTGCATATACAAGTCTGAAAAACCTGTCATTTTGCCTATGAAACCAAGAAATATAAATTTATAGAATATGGCCACCCTGAATATATAGTGTATAAAATATTGTGAATGCATATAGTATAACATAAGTTTACAAATAAGTAAACTGTAACAAATGTAACCTAGAAAAAAATGGAACAAGCTTACAAGTTTAAGAGAAGTGAGTATGTCACATTCTTACACCTCAATGCCAATTTCAGTTTAACAGTGTTCAGACTCATAAGTCTGTAAAGACTGGAGGTGTTCCATGTTTTTAAATTTTATAATGGTCTGAGAAATGTTTAACTTTATTCAGTGATTTGATATTGATAGCCCAATGTGTTTATGGTTTACTTTTATTAAATAATTTTTCTATGTGTGTTTTAAATTATAATGTATTGTGCCTGATCTTGTTTGATATTTACTTGAAGTATTTTCCACTACCTACTGCACTTATATTCAATGAAGTTGAGGTTTTCTGTTCTCTACATTAAGAAAAGAAGTACATGGATTTGTTACATGCAGTTAACAAACTGAGATTGTACCATTCAGAAAACTTGCTCTTTTGCTATTAAATTAATATGCATATTTTAAATCTTTTGGAATGAGTCACAGACATTCATCTGTTGAATAGAAAAGTAACAAACATCTTAAATAAGTTTTCTAACTGTCAATTTTCACTTAAGTAGAGTCTTACAATTATACCCAAGATTTCCTAAAACTGTATCTGAACTAACAAATATGGGAAGCAAAAAATCCTGCTAACTTTAAAAACAAAAAATAAGTTTTTATGCACATGTAATCTTCCTCATTTGTCATTTTTTTTTATTTTAAGTTCTTTCAAATTGTGCTATGTTTTGAATTTCAAACCTTTAACCAGAAAGTCTCTGAAGTTTCCAAGATGGTGTAACTAGTGTTAAAATCTGCCATTTCAGGGGTTAAAGGTTTTCCATATTCAGTCATATAAAACTGATTACTTCTATTCATGTTGATAATAACAATAAAATATTAAGTGAGTGTATTTATTACAATGATTTATTTCATTAACATTCACAAAGACTAGTCTTTGAAATCTAATGTATTTGTTGTTATTAATGTTTGGTATCAAAACAGTGCCAATGATGATTTAAGCTTTGACAGCATATATCAAATTTGAATAAATAAGAAAAATAGAATAAATTAATAATCAGTCTTTTTCAGGGTAAAGAAATTTTTGCTGACAAATTATAATAAAGCTAATTACTTTAATTGAGGCAAGTGAAGGACTCAACATTGTGCTTTTACAGTATTGTAATTTGTTTAAATAAACATGAATGTGCTGTATTCAAGTGTATTATAACCTTGCTATAATATAGTTTTCAAAATGAAGAAAGATGTATTTTCCTTCATTTCTGAACACTTAAGCTGAAAACTAAAACTAAATTTTTGGATAGAAATATTCCAGATAATCATTGCATAATTTACTTTACAGAATGTATTTTTTGTAAAGTTAAAGAAGATGATGAGCTCCACTATGGTAAAATATTTCATAGAGAGAAGTTTTCCTTACACTACTACTGTATGGTAAGTTTTTATCTTTTAATTTCAATTAATTTGATTAAAGGAATTTCTGCAACCCAGGAGCTCAGTAATCATCAATAATTCTTAATGTATTTACTTATACTCTTCATATCTGAAAAAGAATAATAAATCTTGTATGAAAAAAAATAACAAAAACGCTATCACCATTCAAAATTTAGTTTCACTATTAAATTGACCTCATAAAAGAATGTTTGAGGTTTTTACTTTTTTTCAATCAATGGTTAGTACTTCAACTTTATCAATTGGAAAAATAATAAGTTTTGTCATTTCAGATTGAGATTCTATTTGTGAGAGATTTGTTATTTTTAGGATATAGTAATGAATGTGTTTCTTGATAATTGAAAAACTCATGAAGGATAATATGAGAAAAGTTAAAAAGTGATCAAGAATGTGGTTACCAGTTTAGTTTTCATAATGCTGTGTATTTCGTGTTTAGATATTTAATCATTTTTTAACTGTTTTTAACTAATGTTTAATAATTGCCTTGTAGTGATCACATGCATGTCATTTGCTCATTTTCAGTTACATTTTGCTGTTATTGCAGTAACTACTAAGAATTTGAAATACAATGGAAATAATCTTAGCCTCTGTATCTATTTTGTTTACTTCCTGATAATTCTTTTTCACAAAAACATCCAGAGTTTTCACTGAATAATCCACCTTTAACACTATGTGATATAACTTTAAGAATTATGATAATGCTTAATAATAACAATACTGGTTTCAAACAAACTGTGCATGGATTGAATTATAAGGAGCTGACATTGTGTACTAATGTAACAATGTATTTGATATTATGCATACAAATAGAGAACAAAACTGAAGCATAATATTCTATAAACAGTAATATTAACTTACCAAGAGCTCCATTTATTTGTTAGATTATTCCAAAACGATTACTTACCTTATCTCACAATTACAGCTATTCTCAATTTGACTGCCTTCTAGTGTGTAAATATTTGCTTGTTGCTAGCCTTGAAATTCTCACCTATTTCCAAGTGTATACCACATGGTTCAACTGTATTTAAGCATGCAAATCAGCATGTGAAAGTCCTCCACGAATAGGAGTACGACAAACCCTTCTATTGCAGCTGACTCCACCTGTGCAGTTGAACCCAATCTTCGCTTTTCAGTTTGGCACAAGGGTGTTAAGACCTTGTGCTTGATTTTAAACATTGTTTTCTCTTTTGTGCATTTTGAATATATTCAAAGTATTGTTTATATTCCACTATCTGGTTTGATTTCTTTAGTTGATTGTGAATTCTTATTTTCATTTAATTACTGGTAGTCATGCAACATTTTTGAATCCATAATTTAATATTACGACTACAATGGCTGCATGTGTGGCATTATCAGTAGAGGATGTGTCGGACATAGTTCGTAGGGAAATAACTTCTTTTATGCCAACTGATCTACAAGCAATTTTTGCCATTATCTGAGAACTTGGATCAGGATGATGCAGGCATGTTCTCACCCTCTTAAAGCACCTAGACCTCAGTCACCATTTTTTAGACTCGACATCACAGATATGTTGTGTTTTGTTTTTGTCACTCATGTCATTTGATCCCTCCCCTTCCTAATTAACTGCAGCACTTAGTTCCAAGTTTTTAATTTTACCCCCTTCACCTGATATTCAGGTAAATGCCAAATGTTTTGCAGATAAATTATGTGCGTGGTGATTAGTATACTGTGCCTCCCACGTACTGCAGAGGCTCATACACTTGCATATCGTCCTTCAGCAAACCCTCGAGTCATTCAAGATTTGTTAGGAGGACTCTCCCTCCGTTTCCTTACATCTCTTGTCTTCCCCTCCTCAAGATTCTGTTTCTCGCTGGCGTCTCACAGGAATGTTTCAAGACCTTCTCATCAAGGGTGCCATCGAACAGGTTTCTCTTGTGTTTCCAGATTTATATTCCCCACTTTTTTGTCATTTGCAAGAAGACAGGACATTGGTATTCTGTTTTTGATCTCTTCCATCTCAATTGCTTCCTCGATGTGCCTTGGTTCACCATGGAATTCTACCTGTCTCTCAGATAGGCCTTTCTTCCAGGGCTTTGGATGACAAGATTTGATGTGTCTGGTGCATATCTTCACAACCCTATTGTATGGGCTTCACATTGTTATCTGTGTTTTGTCCACAAGGATCACATTTATCAATTCAGCAAACTGGCATCAGCACACTACACTTTGTTGGGTGGTCTGGCCATTTGCCTTATTCCTACATTTTTGTGGGCTCATTTTCCATCTTTATATGAATGTCTGGCTTCTTCTGGCTCCATTCTTTGCTGAGTCTTCTACACTCACCCAACTTCTAATCTGAGAACCTGCTTGGGTGGGTTGGATTATCTAGGTAGAGAAACCCATTATCCACCCCACCCCCCATATCTTGTTTATCTTCAAGCCATAGAGTTTTTAATTCAGAGGGCACAATCAGCATGTTCTCTTCCTACGCAAGAGGCTCTGTTTCATTTGGTGACTTGGGCATCACTGGAAGCTCTTATCACTCTGGGTGATGCTCACGTACATTCCTTGCAGTGGGTACTACAAGATCAATGGACCCTCTGGATTTACAGATATCCTTTCCATCTGACTACCTCTGGTGGTTAGGCAGGGACAACACAACAGTGAGGTTGCTTATTCCTCTTCCCCATCTGGATATCCACATCTCTGGAGGAGTTAACTTTTCACATCAACCTTTTGAAACTTCTTGCTGTTTGTCAGTTGATAATTCAATTTCTGTCATCTTTGCAATGCATGACATTTAGTATTCATTCTGACAACTTAACAGTTGTCTGGTACATCACCTAAGAAGTGGACACTTGATCCTGGTCCTCATGTTCCTGCACTCTAGAGCTCCTCTTCTGGGCTCACAGCCATCAAATTCATTTGCTGGCTTGTCACTTATTGGGTGCCCTCAGTTTTGTCATGGTTCGTATGTCCTGTCTCGACAAGGTTCTACCCATGGAGTTATTTCTTGACTCCCAGATATTCCGATGGCTGTGTTCTTAGATATATGTTCCCTAGCTTTATGCATTTTCCACTTGTTTGAATGCCAAACTCCTCTCTTTTGTTCCTCAGTTCCATATCCTTTGGCTTTGGATACATTCAGCCAGGATAGGAAGGACCTTTATCTTTATACATACCTTCTCATCTGTCTTCTACCCCAACTAATTTCTCTCATCTTAATCCACTTCATGTCATGTCCTTGTAGCTCCTATCTGGCCAGCTCAACCATGGTTTCTATCCCCATCCCTTCTCCAGGAACTACCTCCATTAACTCTCTCGCCCATTCCTTCCTCTGGCAACCTCACTTGGGGGGTGCTTCATCTCACTGCTGCCACACTCTGGCTTCACTCATGGCTTTTGTTTGGTTCCTTTCGAGGGATTCGGGACTATCCACAAGTGTAACGTCCCTGTTGTCTCAATCTGTCTGTGTATCAACTTGAATGGAAGATATATTCTGTCATTGGTCTAACCAACATGGATTCTCACCATCCTCACCTCAAATATCCACTAAAAAGTAAACTACCAGGTCAAACTAGTTTTTAAAATATTTATCAATAAACTGTCTTAAAACTAACTTAGGTGAAGATCAGTAACCCACAAATGTTTACTTTATGCTTAGTATTAGAGTGGGCAGGAGAGAGATCACGAGATATTTCCCTCCTATCTCGACTAAGCTTCTCAGGAGGGACCTTCTGCAAATCTCCACGTGTGTGGGAGATGGTGGAAATGTATCATCAGATACATTTAACCCTGAAAGGGAAACACATTTAATAATTAGACTTTTTGTGGTGTTCTTAACCTCCTTCAGAAGTGAACCCCACTTTGAACATTTCAAAACATAATCGGTATCACGTTCATATGATAGTCTGGGATGGCCCAGATTCTCTACTCATAGTAAAAGTTCAGGGTCTCATCCTCAGACTCATAGCTTGGTGAGTGTTAGTGTAATAAACACCCCTTAGGGTGATTTTCCAAAGATGCAACACTCCGCTATTTTCTTTACAGATTCTTAATCCTAGGGCTTTGTGGATCTTAATGCTTGTTACACTCTCGAGATGAACTTGCAAAGAAACACCACTCAGCCTTTAAAGACAAAATTTTTGTTTTTACCTTGTTGGCTGCTGTTCTGTAAGTCTCCTCCTTTCCTAATGAAGGAGAGCTGGAAATACTGCTAGAAAGAGAAAAACATTTAAACTTGCACGTAGATTGAATGCATGGTTATTATCGATGGATAAAGTCACTGCTATCCATTTGGTCCATATCCTATGAAGAGTACAGAATCCAAGTTCATAAGCGCGCACAACTCTAAAAGAATGCTGAACCAGATTTAGGGATTTGGTGCTCTTCAGATGCTTTTGAAGGGTGCTCATCTAGGTAATTTTTCACAGGTCCTTCCACCTGCCTAATGTGGTATTTTAGCTGTAACTGTGAGCGGAGGTAAGTAATCGTATGGGAAGTTAGTATTTTTCTGCACTGAAAGTTATTTCCAATGGATACTTTCCTCCGATCACACTTCCCACCTGTACTTCCATCTTCCAATGCCATTTTTCGTGCTTAATCTCATTGTGAAGATTGAGTTCAACTGTAGTAGGAGGATTTATCACACTCCTATTGGTGGAGGACTGTTGCATGCTAATTTGCATGTTTAAACAAAACTGCACCATGGGGTATACACGTGGAATTAGGTGGGAGTTTCAAGGCTAGTGGTGAGCAAAAATATGCACACAAGAGGACACTCAAATCAAGAATAGTAACTGTGAGAGGTGGTAAATATCTATCAGAAATATATTTTCAGTGTAAGAAAATATTAACTTTACTGTTTAAAATAGGTTGCAACTTTAAAGAATATTTGAATTTGGTGTCAGTAGGCTTAGTAACCCTGTAAGCACAATAATGAACAATTTGCAAGTAATTTAATATTTTTTTCAGTTGTTATTGATAAACAATTTTGTTATATTTTATGGTAATCATAAGAACTTGTAAGTGAAAGTAAAAAAGAATGTAATAATATGTGAACCACACTTTATCTGCTATATCCATTTGCAATGAAGCCTTTTGCCTAATGCCAGAGCTCATCAGGATAGCTGGGATACGTCTATGTATTATAGTGGTTGACATATTATTTGTAGCATCAATTACTTAAGCAACAACTGTTTCAATGTGAACTAGATTAAGTTAGTGAACTATAGTTTTTATCAATTTTACTTAAGTCATTAACATCAGAATTAGGTTTACAATTTTTTATTAACATCAAATTATTTATTAATTTAACTTAAATGAACTTTTACTCACCATTCAGATAAACTGATGAACCAGTGAACTAGTTTTTTTTTTTATCCTCAAGTTGAAATGCTACTCCTTTAAATTAAAGTTTTTGTAAAATAAATAATTTTGATTAATTTACAGGAATGATAACAATATGAGTCCTTTTCATTTAAGATTAAGTTGTTGTTTTTCATAATATTTAAAATCAATTTAAACAATTCAATGTAATTAATAGCATATGCTTAAGGTAGATTTTACTTTTAACAGCTTTTTTCCAGTGGATTAGTCCAGAGAGGGAAGAGTGATGATGATGGAATTCTCGGGTTTCTGCCTGGTGATATTTTACGAGAAGTTAGAAGAGGAAAGAGAATGGTATTATAATAATCGTGTGTTTTTTATTTCTGTGAAGCAACTTAAATGCTTTATTATTCTGTGAGATTGTTACATCATAAACTCAAAATATATATTGAATGAGAACTTTTTATTGTTTTGTGTTATTTTAAGCACTTGCTTCTTTGCAGAGTAGCAGATAATTTCTTTTTCAAATTTGATTTTTGTTGTAAATATATAAGTTGCATAATAATGACAATGTCAAGTAAAAGACATCAACATATAATTTAGAAAAAAAATACATGAGAATGTGATAACTTATGTCTGCATAGTTATCAGAATGGACTGTACCTGGCTGTCTTTAACTTTGAAGCTTCTAGCGAAATTGGGTATTAATCATTTGCACCAGAAACATATTCATAATATTACTCACCTCTCTGCAGAAGTAAGAGTTATTACTTCACAAAACTGCTATGTAGATTTTTGCACATGCTACAAGCCTTATTCATACTGATGTGTGTTGCATCAGGCTATGATGTAAACATCATTAAGCTATAGCCTTCCACCATTAAGAAGGCAGCACATCCTTCATCTGCAGTTATCCCCATGAGCACTAGCATTTGAAAAAAGGCTCATTCGTGATGAGACACTGCTTCTCTTTAGCATATTCAAGTGTGTTTGTTTTTTGAAATTGCAGATATTTGTGTTGCTTTTGTTCTTTAACTGTCAGTTAAAGCTTATTGTCTCATCAATCATGTTTGTACTTGAATATTTATACTGTCAACTCGACTTACTACTACTTTACATAGTAAAAAAATCTTTTAAAATGCCTTTGAAGATAAATTCCCAAATCCACATTTGTTCTCCCTCCTAAGATCCTGACACTCCACTTAAGGAGTACACTCCTGCTGTTTCAGTGGTGACTGTAGACATTCTGACAGTCAGTGAGGTTACTACAATTTTGCTCCGAGTGATTGGTTCTATTCTACCTTCTTCATCTCAGATCAAAGTTCTCTTTCTGTTGCTTTAGCTGACCCTGCCTCATGTTTTGATGATTTTGACCAACTGTTCCCACCATCTGTCTTTGTTTTTGGTTCTTCTTTTCTTGATGGTGAAAAGTTAACTCCACTTTTGTTCTTTATTGCTTTGATCACTCAAGTATGTGATATTCTTTCTCCAGGTATTTTTGATGAGCCTCAGGCTAACTTGCTACATCAGCTTCTTCCTTTTGACTATTTTATTGTTTCCTCCTCTCCTGATATTCATGTTGATACCTTTTTTGCCTCGGCTTCAAACTAATCCCAACAGCTTCATCCTCTTTGACTTCTTAACAATTTCACTGGCCTGGGGATAAGTTTTTCAACTCTCCCTGAGATTAGTCCCTTGAATCTTTCTTTCCAACTTGGGGATTAGCCCCTTCTCATACTTTGCTTCTTATTCATTCTCAGTCTGCTTTTTTTTCATCTCTCTCTCTCTCTCTGTTTGTCTACACTTCAGCTTCTCTCAGAGGATCACCATTTTGATGCTGATAGCTTCACTGTGGGTATTTGTTCCTACCTGTTTGTCACCTTTGCTTAAATCTCTCTTTTTTTTTTTTCTGCAGTGTCCTTATTGACTTAGTTTTTTGTTTCTGGGATCTGCTTGATCGCGATGCCTTACCTTTGGTGTTTGCCTCCTTCACTTTTATCTTATAAGATAAAAGACCTCCATCTGGCTTCTTTCCTTCAAGACAAGGTTTGTGTGGGTATTCTTTACACTCTAAAAACTCGAGCAGAAAGTGCTCATCATCAGCAGTCTTGTCTGATAACTTCAGTCTCCTGAATTTCTTGTTCCAGAAGGCCCAGTAGGTTTCTTTACCTCAGGAGTCTTATTGGATTGATCCCTCTCCTGTTCCTCATCCTCCTGCTTCTTATTAATGTCTTTCCTCTTGAAGGGCTGGTTGTCATCGATCACAATGGTGACTTACTTTTGGAGCCACCCTTGACTCTGATTCAGTGAAATCTTGGCTCTCCCTCTTTGCATGCTCGTGAACTCCCTTTTGGTCACACAAGTGATTTTTTCATAGGCTTTCCCTGTTTTTTTTCCCCACTTAACCTCTTTTTTTTTTTCTTCTCCAGTTGTCTTTCCATCATCAGTTCCTGTTCTTCTTTGGTACCTAGAAAAGGCTATGTCTCTTCTAAGGAATATGAACACTATAGAAATGGTCCTCAAACCCTCTTGGAAATTTACTCCCAAGAAAATGAGAGATTAGTGTCTTGTCAGAGAGCTCTTGTTATTGAATCAATCTTGTCATTCTTTGGCTCAGTCTCTCGGTGGTCTGATTTGTCTATCTTCTTATCACTTTCTCTGATTTATTCACACCAAATGGATTTTTCAATTTCAGTCTCTTCTCTTTGAGTCTCCATTTCCACTACAACATACATGGCTGACTTAGTTTTACTGCCAATGAAGTTTCTATGACTGCAACCCCCCTCCTTCTTTGGGAGATTATTTGGATTGGCTGGTCAAGTTCTTCAACTCTGTCTTGACCCCACTTAGTATATGGCTCATATAAGAATCTTTTTTTTAACTATGGTGCCAATTTGGCTCAGCCATCTTCTTTTTGACATCAAAACATGGTGCTTCTGGTTATAAATGTTATTTCCCCTACTGTTTATGCTTTTGGGAACTCAAACCTGATTCTCTTGTTCCTCTCTGATGTGCCCATATGTATCCCTATCAGTAGAACCAGGCTGATCAATGGAACATGTCTAGAGATTCCCTGTCATCTCTAGTATCTCTCCCTCTGATTCTACACTTCTTACTGTCATGGTAACTCAACTGATCCCAAATGACACTAGACATTCCTCTTCCCCACCTCAACCAGACCTGCATCTGTCCACTGATGTCTCACTTTCTTTGTAGGAGGGGCAGTTCTAGACACCTACATCCTATCCATGGTATGGTCTCAAGAAAAATAGTCTCTTCATATCAACTTCCTCGAACTGATTGCTGCTCCTTAAGCTTGCCATCATCTTCAGTCTCATCTGTCTGATAATATTGTGATGATTTATTTAGATACACTTTCACGTCTCGCATCAACTGACAGAGAAGCGCTCGATATTGGGACCTCTGCTTTCTAGTCCTGGATTTTCTTTTTATGGGAGCTCGTAACCACCAAATTTGTTTGTCTGTCTATCATGTTGTGGGAGTTTTGAACCTGGTGGCAGATCGACTATCTCACTTTGACTGGATCCTTTCCTCTGGTCTTTCAGTGGATTTTTTTTCTCCCAATTTTGGAGTCCTCTCATTGATGCCTTTGCAAGCTTCTTTTCTGGTCACCAATCCTGGATTCTGTTACTGTAGCAGTAGATGCCCTGAACTAGGATTAAACCAACCTCATTATGCCTATCTTCTTATTTGACTTTTTTCCAGCATTCTGTCTTATATTTGCAACACCTCTTGCATTGCTACCCAGTGATTTTCTTTGGTGAGCTCAATTGAGGTTTCCACTTCAGCACCTCTTGACATCTAGGTAGTCTCTCTTCCACCCTAGAAGTCCCTTTTACTTTAGCCTCTGAAACCCTTCTTTCACAAGAAGGTGTTATGCCTTCATCTTTTTGCATGAGTTTTTATAGTCCCTTGCAAGACAGGAGAGTTTTTTCACAGAGAAGCCCATTTTCTGTATCGTTCTTGCAGAGCCATCCACCTTTCACTTTATCAAAATGCAAATACAACCACTGGGTTATTTACCACTAACTTCCTTCAGGTTATCCTATCTCAGGAACTTACTTTTTAAATAGTATATATTAACGTTAGTATATGGGTGTGTTGTGCTAAGGATCCTTCTACAGTAGGTGTCTGTGACTTGTTGGCAATAAATTCAATGATAAATGAACAACACTCACTCTGTTGTTTTAAAATAATATATTCAAGTTAAATATATGTACAAAAATTCTTTACACTATGTATATCATAGTTGTATCTTAAACACTATACAGTTCTCTTATTCTCGTCAAAAGTACACTTAGGCCATTTCAATTGCTTTAGAATTCAGTTGATAAGCTGAATTATTGTTCTCTGTTTTTATCTTAAACACTATCAGTATATAATTCACTTATTCCTTTTCTTCTTTTATCACAACAGTATCTGTGTATAATTCACATATGCTGTCGTTGAGCTACCGCAATTATATCCTGAACTTCCAATACTCATCTGCTTTTTCCTGTTTAGGCCTACTTTTGGTAAACGTCTGCTTTTCAAATATATGCCTACTTTCAAATAATTGTCTGCTTTTTGTCAAATTCCACACAGGTAGGTTCATTTGCTTTAGAACACCCTTTGTGTTGTTCTTTGGGCCCACACATTCCCTGTTTGAACATTTGGCCACCTGTTCCATGTATCATTTTTCTTTAAAAATTATTTTCTTCATGCTTGCTTGCAGGAGAATTTTACATTGGCATTCTTGCCTTAGTCACTTCCTGCATGTATTGTACTAGGGTTAGCTTGATTTTATTTCTGAACTATTTCTTTCTCCATAGGATTTGGGCTGCCTTGGAGGGTGATTGGATGTTTTCTCCAACCACTTATTCTTCCCATTCTTCTTTGTGTGATTGTTCTGGTGCAGATCATCTTCTGGCTTGTTTAGGCAGTTTGGTGTTATCTTTTTCCTATTGCTTCCATACATGGCATTCACCATCATAATTTTTTCTTTGTTTTTGCAAGGTATGAACCTTGTTCTCAGAACTTATTACTTTCCACTTTGAACAATGGATTCAAAAGCTCATTCTTGCCATTCTCCAGTCTTCACAGAGACTCTAGGGAGATGAGTATTAACCCTTCCAGACAGATCACGGGTGATAGGCCATGGCATCACATTTGTTGACTCGCATTCAAAATTTTATTGAACTACTATTTCGAGAATTTATGTCGATAAATTTGGTATCAAATTGTAGATTATAATTAAAATTTTAGTATTATACCTTACTCAATTTCTTAATATTAAAAAAACACATACCCCTACAGAAATTTGTTACTGAAAATAACAGATAAAATATAAAGTTTTTTTCTTAAGAAACATTTGATAACTATCTGGACATTATAAAGATTTTGCATGTGAAATTTGAAAATTTTCTGAAGCACAAAAGTATTTTTAATCTTAAAATGAAAATTACTTTGTATATTGGATAGGCAACATGCAAAAAAAGAGCATAAGAAAAACATTGCTTTACAAACCTTAAGACTCGATTAAAAAAAAAAAAAATTATGTTTTGTGTCTGAAAGCATTGTAATGTTTACTGATAATCTGCCAAATTTCGTTAACATATGCTTACTAATTTAAAATTTATAGCATAAAACTATAACAAGCACAAATTGGTTACAAGGTCGGTGCTGAAAGAGTTAACTATTTTGTTATTGTTTCAATTCACAGCTCCCTCTTTTCCATTATCATATATATATATATTGATGTATACATAATAGAGATGATGTAACCCACCAAGTAGCAGGTGATGCCTCACAGGGAAAACTTCTCTTTTTCCAAAATCTGCATCAAGAAGGGGGTAGTACAGAAAGTGTTAATCCATCTGCCCCTGCTCCATGCCAATTGTTGATATGGGGTTTTTTGCAAGAGTGTTTTAGCAATGTACAATGTGTGTATTTTATCTCCCAGGCCATATTTCACAAGAAAAAAAAGGTGTGTCTGCCCTCATACCTGCCTAGTACCTGCAGTCTTTAATCAGGATAACCCATTGTACAATCTAGCAATGTTGAACCTTATGCAAATGTGTTGTTTCTTGTTAGGTATTAGCATTTTTTCGATGTTTTCCCCTGTATGCAAATTCCTTCCTTCCATTCTCTTCTAGCAGAATAAGGGAGAACCCTGTTTTCCCTAGTCTCAAGCCACTAAGAAGACTTCACCATTGGGTTGGTATAATCCCACTGGTGAGGTAATAGCTTTTTATTGTGCAGAGAAGTGCATAGCTACCTGAAATACATTTTCAGGTAAGGAAAATGTTAACTAAAATGCTTCAAACTACATTCAAAAATGAAAATGTTAATAGACTGACATAAAGAAATTCCAAAGGTTGAAAAAGCTAAACAATATTGTTTTGAAATAAACAATCATTGACAGTACAACTGTAGAAATATTAGTTTTTTTCCTCAAATTCAAAATGGTGTCATAAGTAAAAATACAAATTCATTGTAGTTTTGCATAAAATACAGTAGAGCAAGCTGTTATAAGCTTCTTATTTTGGATACTTTTATTTTTCAAGAAATGCTCCTACTGCCGAAAATGTGGAGCTACTATAGGCTGTTGTTACAATAAGTGCAAGAAAGTGTTTCATTTTCCTTGTGGTCTCCAGAATGGTTCTCTGAATCAGTTTTTCGGAAGATTTAAGTAAGTTTTCTTTCGTTATAATGGAAATAAATATGTCCTAGCTCAAGATAAATAGAAAATAAATTCATTATTAACAAATTTCATAATTTCGTGTCCATTTATGTAGATAAATTTAAAAGTCAAAAGACAACTTCTCAGAACTGTTCAAATAACTTTATGTTCATTTTAAGATATTTTAATCATATTTTATGTTATGTAGAAAACAAATTTTTATCTTTAATTGTGTATGGGATAAAACTGCAAAGGGTTTAAAACTGACTTTATGTTGTCCAAGATAAAAAAAAAAAAAAAAAAAAAAAGATCATCAGAGCTGATAATTTGTCTATAAAACCTGTTAATTCACTAGGGTCACCAATGAACTCTTCAGTTAGTCCTTTTAATAAAATTTTGACCTCTTACTAATAATGTTGATATGTTTCAATAAAATTTACAGTAATTTCAGATCACCAGATTGCTAAAAAAACCTACAATTCTAAGTTACATGTTTGAATTTAAAAAAATAATAGTTGGTGAGACCAAAAAAAAAAGATTAGACTCAGTGTTGTTTTGGTGATTTTTTCCTACCACTACAAATGTAAAAACTTAAAAAATACAAGATTCCAGTTGTAAGTGTTTTTATGTATATTTTTATTTATTGTTATAAAAGTAACTAAAATGTAAAAAGTTAGAAACTTGTTATGATATATATAAGAAAATGTTAGATCAAATTAAGTAAGCAAATTCCTCATTGTAGCATGTGCACTTTACAAGATATGACTGTATAATTCAAAGTGAGTGCCTTAGACAAAGTTGTCCCACTTAATTAACTCTCTCTCAACACGGACTCGGTCAATTTGACCGACCACATGACCTCTTTGTACTCAATTAAAGTCTTTATAGATTTAATACTTCTAACTTTCAATATAGTGTGTATATCTTCACAAAATTTGGCAGTCTTTCAGTTAGCATTACAAGTCTTTTTACATACAAAAAATCTTATTTTTTAGTCAAGTATTTTTAATAAACTAAAATTAAAGATTTGTCCATGAATATATTGAGTATTTATTTTGAATAGTCCATGTGCAAAGTAATTTTCATGTTAAGATTAAAAATACTTTTCTTCATCTCAAAAATTTAAAATTTCCTTTGTGTAACTACCAAATAAAATTTCCTAAGTACATTTCAAATGTGTTTTCCAGTAAAACCTTATATTTTGTCTGTTATTTTCTATACCCTAACTCAAAATAGAATTGGTCAATTTGACCGACCTCGTAACCACCAAAAAAAATTGAAATAAATCTAAATTACTCTTTTTTTTTCTTTCTAGAATGACTTCAAATTGTAACATGAAACTACATTAGTTTATCCTAAGTAGCTTTAAGCTCATAACAGTATACATCTATATATAATTAAATTTTATTGTTTGATTGCCATTTAAACTGTGTTTAACTACTATTCACACCTTAATAAGTTATAAATCACTGTGTGTACATGTAGCTCACGTTACGTTATTGAATTATGTTACCTGTATGCTGTTCACATGCATGCCTCGTGAAACATTTTTACTACATTATTATTTATTTTACCTAATCTAATCTTAACCAACTAACAAGATCCCTATTTTTACAATTTAGTTACTTTTATAATAATAAATAAAGAATAAACATGAAAAACAAGAAATAAATTACTTACCAAATCTTCTTTTTTCTTGCTATTGATTGTCGGTTATACTTAAGCCTACATATTTTATACTAACGGTAGTAGTGCATCAAATAATTTTTATTTAATTAAATAATGCACCAAAGAACATAGACTAATGACATACAAAAAGCAGACAATTTCCCCTTACAATCAACATTTTTCTGGCTTTCTAACTATGCAAGAAGAGCTGTTACAAATTCATCCAAGCTAGTCGTTAACTTTCCCATAGGAATGAAGCTTGTACGCTGAGTAAAATTGATGCTTATCTGTTCAGAACACAATGGTATACAATGCGTCACTTGATAGATGAAAACCTTGACTTTCTTTTGACTGTAGATAATATATAATTAAACCTAAAAGAGAACTGTTAAAAAAGACTGAAAGAGATAGTGTGGCAGGTAGGTGTGGTTTTTCTATTTATAGTTCTCTAACCAAACAAAATTGATAGCTATAAAAATTATGGTTTGTCTGATCAATGAAGATATTATAGGGAGCAATTTATGTTTAATTTTGTACATTTTGAAGGGGTGGTGGATAAAATAGAGAAGAGAAGATGCCTAGAGAAAATGTTACTATGTAACACTAGGAGAAGTTCAGGATTTTGTTTAATATTTTCTTATAGAATTAAGAACTTAACTTGTATGCTATTAAAATATGGATTATTAGCTAAGTGGTTATGCCACATTAATTGGTATCACATAAACAAAAAGTAGTTTAATAAAATTTGAATGTAAGACACTAAAACTTTCTGTCATGCGTAGTAAAGGATACCCATGGTGAATGGGTTAATAAATAGCTATTGCAAGTGCAACTGTAAAGAAATAAAACTAAATTAAAAATGTATTACCTTTTGCGGCAAGAATAAATAGTGTGTACTTGTCTCTTACAATGTTCAGTCATTCTAGAGATTAAAAGAGTAAGTTATGTGTATTTCATATTTTTTGTTACATGTTGGTTAACAAGGTTGGTCAGTTTGACTGAACCTAAATTCAGTGTCAGAGTAGGAAAAATAGTAGATAAAATATAAAGTTTTACTGAAAACACTATTGATATTCATTTAGGATGTTCTAGAGGTTATGCAAAGGAAATATGAAAACTGTAAAGTAAAACAAATCCTATGTATTCTTAACATGAAATTCAATTAGTAAATTCTTTATAAATTCAGAGACAAATCCTAAGTATTAATATCTTGATTAAAAATGTTTTTCTTGTACAACATACTTGTGATGTTTATTAAAAGCGTACCAATTTTCATAAAAATACACTTTGTAAATTCAAGTTAATAGTTTGTATGCTTTCATGGTTACTTGGTAGTTACAAGATTGGTCATTTTGACCAAGCCCATATCAGTACAGTTAAGTCATAATTCAAACCATATCATAAGGCAGAAATCCTTATTGACTATGGTGTTTGCTAATGTATGCAAATACCAAATTTCTTATTTTAGTGTTAAATTGATTTTTGGAGTAGAACTTAGTACTTTTATGTGATTGGAGCCATGTTTTAAAGGTGCACAACAAATAATGTTGACTAGTGTAAGTCCAATAATAATAATATTTTAACATTTCACTTTAGCTTTTCATTATTGGTTTGTTAAATTCTCCTTTCAAACGTTGACTGTTTGTTCCTGTTGCTATGGATTGTAGCTCATATTGTGAGGAGCATCGTCCTAAACAGAAAGTGTTGGAGGAGAATGGAAAACAGTCAAAAGGATCTGAATTGATGTGCCCTATATGTTTATATCCTGTGGAAGACAGAGTTTCCAATTATGTACTGATAGCTCCTTGTTGCAAATCTTCATCGTTTCACCGAAGCTGTGTGCAGGTAGGAAGTGTGGCACATTTAAACTATATAATTTTCCTAGCTAAAAGTTAGTCAAGTAATACATGTAACTAGCCTTAATTATTTATTTCTATATCAAAGAAATTATGCTTAGATATGCTAAAGAACTGACTTACATTTTAGACCAAACTAAGTTGTTATTTTTTTATTATTTTTTGCTGCAAAAATTGTTCACACTCAGTTATCTTTTTTTATGGTTTACCACATATTTGATAGAAGTGCTTTTACACAGCACATAATCAATCCAGACGTTTAAATATGTACATGTACAAAATTTAATGTAAATTACTTATTATAATGTTGTCATCACATTTTTACAGCTTTCAATCTTATTTTGTTACAGAGATGTCAAATAGAAAATAAAACCCCACTAACCATGCCTACCTGTCACATCATCTCTTTCAGAAATAGTTCTCTCTGACGTTTAACCCTTCTGCAACAGGCGGGTCTAACTGTGCATGTTCCAGTCTTTCAACGAGTTATTTTCAAAATTTAATTAAACTGCTTTTTATTTATGTTATAACAATTAGTATACCATGAAATGATAGCTAATAATCCATATTTTAATAAAATATAGTTTCATGTTCTTAGTTATGTAAGGCAATATTTAAGAAAATCTCGTGCATCCCAACAAATTCTTATGCGTACAGGACCTTGGAATCTGTGTTAACTAGAACCATTGGTCTTGTACTTTTTTTGCTCTTGAAATGTAAATAAAATTTAACCCTATTAATTTTTGTTTATTTCAAATATTCAACTTAGAATACAATAACACCCACAAAGAAGACAGTGTCCTATAATTATTATAGTTTAACTGACTTTCTAATTCAGCTATAAATGGGTTGAAATTATTTCTTTAGCAACTCAGTGTGATTTAGTGATAGAAAAGAATGAAACTATAGGCTGAATAATTCATAAAGTATCTTCAAAATGAGATAGCCTTGTAAGGAATCAAGAAAATTAATATCTTTTTCTTTTGGTTATAAATAATCTAACAGCAAATGTCAGAAAAATTATTGATATTTTTTTTTTAAAGTCAGGATGTGATAAGAGGGCATGGCATATGGGTTTAATTTTCTGATTTATATCTCAGTAAAGCAAGAAGACTGGAGGCTTTGAATTTAGTGTGTGTCTTACCAATATCTATACTATAAAGTGTGTAATTTGTGTTGAATTCACAAGATCATTATAGGAGTAGAAAGTATATAAAATGGGCAAATTGGAAAAAGGTCACATGGTACAAAGAAGTGAAGATTGAGGACTTTAAATATTTCCTATGACTTGTATAATATTAAAATTTGAATAATAAACTAAATTTTGATGCCAAGTTTATTGGCATGCATTGATAATTGTTTTTGATTGTAACTCTGTAAAAAAGACATGACATGAATACATGTTGGTCAAAATAACCCTATTCATTGTTAGAAGTTAATAACAATTTCTGCTAATTTTATACCTATTCTGTTGGTGTGTTACAGAGGCAAGCCCTAAGTGCTGGCTATTTTTTCAAGTGTCCTTTGTGCAATAACAAGGACCTGTTTCAAATGGAAATGCTGAAATATGGGATTCACATACCAGAACAGTAAGGATGGAAATAAAGACATATTTGATTTATAGTTATTTCTAAAGAATTATTGAGACAAATAAGCCTTTGATCCAAGTCAGTACAATTGTTTTCATTTTCCTGTTTGATGTTTTGTAACTTTCACTCCTAATACATGTACCTTTATAATGAATTAATGAGAATATGTGTTTGAGACTTCTATTTTAGACTTTGTAGATATTTCAGCTTTAAAATATTTACATAGATATACATTAAACAAACAGTAATTAAACTATACTAAATACATTTTGCCAACATTTGCAGTAATGATATCATGACAACCAGATATCAATTGTGTCATTGTTAGTAGCCTATATAATCACCTAAATCTAATCATTAATATTTTGTTATTCTTTATAACCAGACATTAATTATTAGTTCATTTTTATCCTACAATTTATCTGCCAGCTTAAGAAAAAAACCAGAGGAGGATTATTTCTGTTTCATAGTGGCTAGGATTTGATCTTGTGTTTTATGAAAGTGTGATGTAGTACCTACCCAACTGGGACCTTCCCTATTAGAATCAACTAATCTTGTGACTGTGTTTTATGAAAGTGTGATGTAGTACCCACCCAACTGGGACCTTCCCCATTAGAATCAAGTTTTTGAATGTTTTCAAGAAAGGATCCAGGTTTTGATGACTTCAATAGTAAGTTGACTGTGTTATCAGCCATAGTGAAAGGGTTAGCTCAAGGAATCACCAAACAAATTGCAATTTTGAACATTGTTATAAATGTTACTTCCAGCATGTAGAATGATCCCATGCAATTATACAAGAATGTTTTAACAATCACAAGCCTTCTGTCATAACCAACAGAGAATTTCCTATGGCTAAAGACTAGCATGCACGACCATTTGATTTACACTGTTAAACTGATAGTTACAGACACTGGTTTTATCGCATAAAAAAACTAAGAAATTAAGGAAGCTTTCGGAATAGTAACTTTGAATACTGTAACACCATATTGCATAAGCTTTGTTCTTGGGATTATTGACATTTGTCAGTTTGTAAAAGAGCTCCAAAAGTAATTCTTTTGTTATAGTTATTATTTAATCTACAGTACTTCCATTCCTTCCTGAATTATTAACATTCTATATACCTACAAAGGTTAATCCATGTTTTAATTCTATTTTATTGCTTTATACTTTTTTGTACTCATGTTTTTAAAAATTATTTTTTAAATAGTTTTTCATTTGAATTTCTGTCTTTTTTACATTCTGATCTCCAGAGTCAAGTATTTCTACTCTTTTAAATAAGGTATTGCCTGTATGTTATATATATATATATATATATATATATATATATATAGAGTAACTTAACTTATTTTATTATTGTCTACCTCTAGTTTGTACGTTACTTATTACTTCTTCTTTTATATATATATATATA